GCCATCGGGGTTGGGTTTTCGTCGCTTGGCAAAGACGGTGTAAAACAAGCCCCCCCCTCGGTGTTGACAACGACGTTGTAAAACAAGCCAATTCACTTCGTGAACTCGGCAACCAGGTTACCGTTTTTTTTTTTTTACCTCTGTTTTTTTTTTTGGCGGTAACCATAATGGTGGTCGAGTAGATCATGTTGTGCGGGGTGGAGAACCCTCACGCCGCGCAAGGGGGATGATCGCACCACGTTGTGTTAAAATGGTCAAGCACCCTCCAGGCAGTTACACAACAGTGCTTACAACTGTCTCAGGAAGTGAAAGCACCAGAAAATAAAGTAATTCATACGCAGCTGTCATCCGTACGCAAGGAAGTAAGCACAAGATGCCGAACACCCTTAGCAGGATGCAGCGCACCCTTCATGCGACTCGCCGAATATCTCACGGCGCTTCGCGCTTGGTGATGTGAGAGCCTGGTCCGGTGAGAACCCGGCGTGCTCCGTCCCGGCTTTGTAGGGATGCGAGGTCAATGGTCTAACGACTACGGCATGCACGACTATGAGTACACCCCCCTTCCTACCACTCCCTCGCACCTTTTCGATGATTTCCGGGGTCGTTTCGATGCCCACGAAGTCGGCGATCTTCTTGACGTAGGTCGGCGGGTCGGCGAGGATGTCCTCGTAACGGAGGAAGATAACGTGCTCCGGGTCGGCCTTGGATGCCTCGTGCCACTCCAGCACGTGGTCGAACCACGATCCGTTCTCGCATCTTATCGGCGGGTCAGTCAGTCGGGTGGGAAGGGAGTCTTTGGTCGGACGGACGGTTGGGTTTGTTGGGAAAAGGCGTGTGCCGTGAAAGGCAAGAAAACTGACGCTTGAGCTGGTGGTAGAGAACTCTACAAGCAGTTCACTTCTGTACTGTATCGTGGAGTATGTTTCGCCAGAAGCTTGCCTGTCCGAAACCAAGTCTACGCGGAAGGCGCTATTCCCTGTGTTGCAACACCTCGTTCTTGACGAGCACTGTTGACAGGCTGCATCAACATGGCTGCGAAAGCGTCAACTCCCCCGCTGGTGAAGAGTGCGCCACTAACTGTCGAGTGCCTCCTGCGAGCCTCAACTGCAACGCTTCATTCACAAACAAGTTTGTTTGGCATCAATTCCGCCGCCGCCGCCGCCGCCGCCGCCGCCGCCGCTGCTGCTGCTGCTGCTTGGCGGGCATGGCTTCACGGTACTCGTCGGCTGGTGATCTCACCTGCCCTCCGCGAAGAAGGTGAGCATGTCGCTAAAATCCCCCGTGTACTGGAACATGGGCTTGTTGGTGGCATGGTGCTGAAGGGAAACGCAAACATCCTTAGGGTTGCGACAAACGTAGATCACCTTAGGCGGCATGATAGATACAACCAGGGCGAAGAAAGGGGGGACAGGGGAATCGAGGCGTTGAAACCACACAAAGGTAAGAAAACATGGAAGCGACGAGGAGACCAGACTAGACCTTCGGGTGCCTTGTACGACGCTTATCTATTTTGTTCGACATGACAGTCGGCTACGGCGCTGAATATCCAAAAGTCAGATGCAACAGCAGCAGCGGCAGCAGCAGCTGTGCGTCTGCAGCAAACGCAGCCAGACTTCGCCAACGACGCACAGTTATTCGTGAACTTCATGAATCGAACTTCTCGCCAAGAACTAGCTTTCTTCCACTCGGCGTTGCACAACAAACCTCTCTCGGGGAAAACCTTGTCGACTAAAATTCTTCAAGGGCTTCGCTTCTTGCTCGCATGCTGCTCGAGCTACATGTCGGCTTGCAACCCTTGCCCCAAATCGAGTGACTCAAGTGAGACACTCGAGTAGTATTATAACATGTACAATAAGCTATACACCCAAACTCATACAGCGTGTTTAGCCGTCTGAGGGTCGAAACTGTACCAGTCCACAATTCGCGGCACCGGCCGGGAAAACAAAACCAAACGCCCTCAAATTCGATGCATACTCAGTTGGTCTGGTGGTGCAGGTTGGTACAATTACCTACCTTCACGCCTGGCGCCTTCCCGCAAGGCAAATCCTTGAGGTTAGCGTGCGTCTTAAAGAAGCGCTTGTCGGAGTTGGCCACGATCTTGTCCAAGGTCCAGTTCGTCGCCTGCAGGTGGGGGGTGCATGTGCCAAGATCAACGGGGGCCAACGGTTAAGGTAAGCGCACGGCTGGGCGTACTGTACTGCCAGAAAGGTTGCTGCGTTCGCCGGGAAGTGGGGACGAAGGGAGAGGAGGAGGAGGGGTAACGAGGTGCTCCAGCACCGCCACGCAGAGGGCTGTGTTTCGTCGTGCGGTCTACAAACACGCGAGGAGACCAAAGTCGACGACGACAACAAGAGCATCAGCACCTAGGAGGGAACGCGTGCTTCGTCGTGCGGTACGGGTCGTAGCGCCGCACCAATCCCACGACGTGCTTTGCGGGAATGTACATGGTTCATGCAGGGCATAGCAGCGGGTCACCTCTTTTTCCCCAAGCTTCCCTCCGAAAAGTGCCGCCTCTAGCCAAGGCACCGCCTCTGCGTACGTGTCGTCCCCGTCCTCGCCCTTGTTTCGCAGCTGCTTGCAACGATGGTGACAGCAAGTCGTGATGGGCAGGCAGTTGTTGGGGCAGTAGGTGAGTGTGAGAAACGGCCACGACAGATCCGATCCACGCCAGAGTGCGGAGGACACAGAGCATGTAAGTACTACCGAGCTTGATGAAGTTTTCGTGGTGGTTTCACCACTTGCACGGCAAGCACAGCAAGAGAACTCGGTGATAGCAAGAAGACCAGCGAGTGTTATTTATCGCGACATACATACACGTGTGCGCCAGCGGGTGCACGACATAAAACACGCGTTCAAGGATCCAGGAACCGACAGCAATCCAGATGAATCTGCCGTGTCCACCAAAACCAACAACGAAAATTTCGAGTTGCGAAGAGAACTGCAGCTATCGCGCGCCAAGACAAACACCAGCTGTAACGTACAGCAGCTGACGGTGTCGCTCACCAAGTTGATGATCTGCTGAGTCCATGTGGTTCCGGACTTGACGTACGTGCACACGAACACGTCGCTGTCCCGAGTCTCAAAGGTGTCTATCAAACTGTTCAGGCTTTCTTCCTGTAAATAGCCCGCACAGTACATCAAAGGGCAGCAAAAAAACGGGAAGGTAGGTAGGGGGGGGTGGGGGGTTGGGGGGGGGAGGGTGTACTCATAGTCGTGCATAGTCGTTAGACCATTGACCTCGCATCCCTACAAAGCCGGGACGGAGCACGCCGGGTTCTCACCGGACCAGGCTCTCACATCACCAAGCGCGAAGCGCCGTGAGATATTCGGCGAGTCGCATGAAGGGTGCGCTGCATCCTGCTAAGGGTTTTCGGCATCTTGTGCTTACTTTCTTGCGTACGGATGTCAGCTGCGTGTGACTTAATTTATATTCTGGTGCTTTCACTTCCTGAGACAATTGTAAGCACTTTGTAACTGCCTCGAGCGTGCTTCACCATTTTAACACAACGTGGTGCGATCATCCCCCTTGC